GCTCTCTCTCTCTCTCTCTCTCTCTCTCTCTCTCCACGCGACCCAAAGATGGAAAGTGCAAACGGATATCTTTGTTTTTCAATTTCTTTTTTTTTTCGCAGAAGAATGTCAATTTTTTTTTTGTGTGTGTTCTTTTTTTCTTCCAATGTGTACCTACCGGTATAGCTCGACGCTCGGCAAGGTTCGGGATACCGGTAGGCTGAGCCATGGGCCTTAACAACCACTACGTACTGGTGGTTTAAGCCTCCAACGAGGGAACATTCGGGAGCTGCACCCACCAGCAGGTGCCGTATCTGCTACAGCAGATGGGCGATACCAGCCAGGGGTCAGCCGGTAGCATCAAGACCGAGCATCTTTGATGGGCCAGTCACTGTGTCTCCCCTTCGGTCCCCTCCCCCCATGAACATCAACAGTCTCTGCTCAACACCACTCGGGGGGACCAACGGCATATCTCTAGGTGGTGGGCGCCGGGTGTCCCTTCTATTGCAATGCCAGGAGTCGGGCCTGGCGCCCCTTCCAAAGATTTTGCAGTCCTGTTTAGGGGCGAGGCATCACCGGCCAAGCCCCAAAACCGGAGCATCGCACACCACAAATCCCATGTCAAAAAAAAGGCACAAAGAAAAAAGAAACGACCAGCACTACATGGTAATGTCCCCTGCTCATCCAAAGTTACGTCCAACCGCTGCCAACCCGCCCTGCCACCCGCGTGGCAGGGGTCTGTGCCCACAGGGCCCCAACTGCAGGCGAAGACCCCGCAATACCCACCCACCTCCTCGCGATTCAGAGGAGATAGCACCTCCCCACCACTCTCTGTTACAAAAACACCAACTCCCACCACGATGCTGTTTCTGCTAACCAGGGGATTACCCTACCTCCCGCACGGCAGGGGCCGAAGGCCCCGCAAACCCACCCACCTCCTCGTGATTTAGGGTAAGCCTCTCCCACAATCTGCACCTAATCCCTAACGGATGCCTCCACACCCACCATGACGAGCCCCCTGCGGAGTGATGCTCACCATGCCATCTCAAGGACTACAGATGACCACAGAACATAAAGCTTGTGAAGATGAAACGAATACCTAAGACCCCGATTCATCATCCCATCGGTAACACCCTACCTCCCGCGCAGCAGGGGTCGACGACCCCGCAAACCCACCCACCTCCTTGCAACTTAGGGAGAGCCACTTCCAGTGATCCGTGCCTGCTTCCAAGGAAACCCCACGGCCCACCATAATGGGGTCTCTACAGAGCGGCGCTCTCTCTTCCGTTCCATCTCATGCGAACGCGAAACAAAAACATAACTAGTTGCAACAATCATCCTGTTCCATCCCACGCTAAGCGCAAGCCGGAGCACGGAAAATCACAACAATCATCGCAAGCCAACTAGCCACCCAGAATCAGCAAAAACAAGGAATATTTCAGACAACAGATATCACAACCTCACCAAAGGTTTATTTGGTGTCCACTCTATGGACTGGTGACAAGTCTGGCGTAAGAGGTATGAGATGTTTGTTATGACCCTGAAAATATCCTGGAAATTTTGGACTCTGTTAACCTCTTCTCCTCACACACACACACACACACACTTCTGGGCCCTAGCACAGGCCACAGCAGGTAGCCACTCCTACCCTACAAAATCCACATGTGCTCGTGCCACACTCACTCACCTCTCTCTCTCTCTCTCTCTCTCTCTCTCTCTCTCTCTCTCTCTCTCTCTCTCTCTC